CCGAGGAGGGCCTGGATGTCGCCACGCAGTGAAGCAGCTTCGGTAGTTGCCGTCTGTTGCTGAGTGACGACGGTGGCAAGCCCTCGTTCCAAACCTGAAACGTGCTCCGTGAGTGTGGCCTGGGATGAGAGAACGACCGCAAGCTGAACCTGCATGTTATCCACCGTGTTGGCAAGCAGCTCGTGCTGTTGTTCCATGTGTTGGATGCGGGTCGTGGCGGCATCTGGCAGTTTAGGGGCCGATGCGAAGCGTTCGCCGAAGGTGTTGAGTTCGTGGGAAGCCACGCTGTATTCATCACCTGATGAGAGGATCTCGACGTCGTCAGCGTCGCCAGGTACTTCGGCGGCTGTGGCAGCGTCCCCTTCGGTGTGGCCCCCACCTTCAGCCGCCACCGTGCCAGGCTGCGGGTCATGACCACCTGATCCTTGGACGGCAGTCTGCTCGGCAGCTCCGTCCGTGCCGTGCGGGGGTGCAGAGGAGCTGCGGCCTGGGGCGCCGTGTGATCTTGCGTGCGGCGTGGCGTCGCGTTTCCCACTGGAGGATCGGTGGCGCTTGGCTAAAGGCTCCTCCTAGGGGATCAGGAGCGGTGCGACGCCCTTGCCTTTGGGCGTGGCAGTCATGAGGTCGTGGAGGTAAGGGCTCTGGGCCGCTTTGGTGAGGAGTGTGCCAGTGGCGGGGCTGAAGCCGCCACCACGGGCTGGCGGCGTCACAGGCTCTGTGATAGTGGTAGGCGTGACGATGGTAACGTTGTCCCTCTTCGGCACCACCTCAGCCAGCGGGGCCTCGGTGATGCTCCACGGGATGGGGCACCCTGCGACCTGTACCGTATATGTGGGTGGGGACGATGGGCGCGCACTAAGGCAAACTGAGCCGAAGTGGCTGGGTCCCAGGCGGCGTGGTAGACCTCACAGTCCCATTTGACGGACGGGCCCGTGAGAGTCTTAGCGAGCTGGGTCAGCGTGGCGTGGCGTGCCGCAATGCCAGTGATGCGGTAGCGCGTCTTGGCGAGGGTGGCTTCGCAGCCGCGGATGCTGACGGCAGCAGCCTTGGCGGCGTCTGACCCTCGTGAAACACGGATCCCCAATAAGCCTGACTTGCCGTGCCTGACGACTCCCAGGGCCTTGAAATCCACCGACTTTTGGAACGCATCTGCCATCGTGATGGGCTGGTCCTCAGGGAACCACACGGTCTGGTACTTGTCTGCAGTGGGCTCGTCTGCACCTACGTTGCTGAGGTCGTAGGTGGCGCCGAGTTGCCCTGAACCCGCCAAGACCTTGTCGACCGCTTGAAGACTGACGCCGAAGGTGGCAGCCAGGGACCTCTTTCCGACGCCCGATCCAAACCGGCCTAGGCTTTTGCAGGGTTCGAGGATGGTGACGGCTTTAAAGTTGCCGTGGAAGAGGGCCTTGAAGGTGTCCTGGAGCTGGCTATCGAGCTCCTGGCGGCGAGCGTCTTTCTTGGACTCCCTGTGCTTTTGGTTTTGGCGCGCCTTGTCCTGTGGAGGGGTGTCCTTTCGGAAAGGACCCTTGGCGCGTGGACCACCGTTCACGGGGGCACCTCCCGAGAACTGGTCCTCGAAGGCCTGATGCATGGAGGGGACTGCGGCGATGGCCTAGGTTTCATGTATGGTCGCCCGAATCCAGCATACGTGGTCGGCAGGGTCGATGGTGGCGACGGCTACTTTTTCCGTGCAGGCGACTTCCTTGGTGCCCAGCTGTACACGGTCACGGGGACGTGCGTGTGGACCACTTTGGGCGCCTTGGGGTGACGCTTCAGCACGGGGACGGCGAGCTCGGTACCGACGTAGTTATCGTTTTTTGGGCCCATGACAGCAATCGAAAGCTGACCCGTGGTACGCTTACCCTGCTCGAGGTGGTGTTGCAGCAGCCGTTCACCGCTCTCGTAGTCGTGGAGGCTGATACTGGGCTTGTACGTCTTGCCGTCGTCAAGTGATGTGGGTTCGGCGAGGACTGGGACCTTCCAAAAGGCCGGGTCCAAGGCAATGAATTGGGTGTCCGCAGCCTGAAGACGTGCGGACCCAGCTGGTGGGTGTGATGTGTCACCGCCAATGCGCTTAGGCTTGCTGCGCCGGTGGTGATCCAGCGTGTAGCTGATCTGGTTGGCGGCGCACATGCGGATCAAGGCACTGCCGAGCTTCTTCGTGTTGGTCTTGTGCATGTCGTACGTGGCCTGGAGCTCATCCGCGTTCAGCTCGGCAAGCCCGTTGTATGCGGCCGTGGGGCGGTCAGACCCCGCTTGCTTGAAAGCTGCGATGCAGTCCTGCTTGCGTTGGAGGAGAGACCCTTCAGCAGCAGGACGTGAGCTCGGAGGCTGCTTGGAAGAGCGACGGCGCTCCGGCTTACTGGGGGCCATTGCTGCGGGCGCTCTGGTGGGGAGAGGTGACGCGAATCAGTAGGGTCCTGCTGGGACCCCTCCGGTCTCGCGAGGCCTGGGAGACTGACTCCGAGGCGGGGCGCTTCGCGTCGCGGCTGCGGTCTGAGTGCAGGGCACTCTCGAGCCGAGACTAAAGAGAGAGACAGAGAGATAGAGAGAGAGAGAAGAGAAGAGAAGAGAAGAGAAGAGAGAGAGCGAGAGAGAGAGAGAGGGAGAGTGAGAGAGAGAGGAGAGAGCAGAGAGAGAATAGAGAGAAGAGATAGAGGAGAGAGAGAGAGAGAGAGAGCGAGAGAGAGAGAGAGAGAGGCAGAGATAGAGGCAGAGAGAGAGAGGCACAGAGAGAGAGGCAGAGAGAGAGAGAGGCAGAGAGACAGAGGCAGAGATAGAGGCAGAGAGAAAGAGAGAGAGGGGCAGGGAAAGAGAGGCAGAGACAGAGAGAGGGCAGAGAGAGAGAGAGACAGAGAGAGCAGAGAGAGCAGAGAGAGAGGCAGCTCAGTCACACTTAAATCCAGATTCGTCCTCACCGAGTCCCACCACCAAGGGAGCGCCAGCAAGGAGATGCACATATGGGGATCCCCACGCAGTGAATAATTTCCTTGCATCCTGCCAGTCTGTCGCCGACCGCTTGTCCGTCGAATGGGGGGCTTTTGGCGTCGGGCGTCGGGGGGTCTCGCGTAACCTGGGCTCGGATGCGACGACGGCTGGCGGGCGTAGAGCCCCGATAGCGACGGCTAGGATTTGCACGGGGGTTCGCCGCGCAGGGCGCTTCAGGAGACTGCGCGAGGCTGGTGCGAAGATCGGGGCGGTGCACCATTCAGGGCCCCAGGCGGCCTGTCTTTGGGGCTCGGCGGTCGCGGGGCTGCCCTGTAGGAAGCTCCGCGCTCTTCGCTTCCAGGCCGTGAGCAGTCTCGTTCGAAGGGAGAAGGCGGCCTCCGCGGGCCTCCGCCTCCTGAGCTCCGCGCATGGGGCCCAGCTCGACCCGGGATCTCGTGGTGACTGATGAGTTGGGTAGGTTCCAGGCTGGGCGTGCCGGCGCGGCCCCAGCGGATTTGGCCCCGTTTCAGCAGGCCCGAAATGGAGAGGATGCAGCTTATTTTTGCGCGTGCGAGTGCGTGCAAGAACCTGTCGGGTTTTTCACCGACTGCCCGGGAACGATCGACTGCGCGCTGTCTCAGCCGTTCGCAACCTGCTCGTCGAATCCCAGAGCGCACTTATGGGCGAGAATTCATGCGAGGTTCGGCTCGGGCATGGTGGCCCACGCACAAAGTAAAAGGCCACTCGACGATTCACGATGCGTGGGCTGGGCGGGTGACGGAGTGGGAGCGGGCGGGAAATGGTCTTGCCGACAAATTCGCTCGCCGCTGGGCTGCCTGCCACTTCTCGACAGCGTCGGCCTATTCAGACATCCAGGCCTTTGACAGCCTGGTCCAGGAAGCCGCCCGCTGGGCTGCTCAGCAGGAGGTCCGCCTGCCCGAGTCGGCCATGGACTCCGAGGCGCTCCCGCGGGCGGGGGTGGGGGAGGAGGAGGTGCCGCGTTTTAGGTCGTCGGATCTGCCTCCCCCGCCCCTGCCATGCGCTCGGGTGACGTGTGGGCGCGGCCGTTTCAAGCCGCTGAGCCGTCAGGCCAGCGGATCTCGAGAAGATCCCGAGTTGTCGTTGCTGCTGCAGCTCCTCGGCCATCGATTGTGTGCTGCTGCTGTTCTCGACCCCCACGGGGCCACCGCCCTCTCATGGCCCGCCCCCCTCGTCTGCATAGCTTGCGGAGGGTGCGCGTGGGGGGGCGTCGCCTCGCTGGCGCGCCCGCGCGGGCATGCCGCCCACCAACCACACGGGGCGGCAGCTAGCGAGAGCTTGGAGGGGGCTGTTCCCGTCGTGGGCCCCGCGGTACGGAGGCTGGAAGCTCGGGCCCTTGCGGGAGCCCTCCTCGGGCGACCTCCTGGCCCTGGCGGCCCCTCGGGTGCTTGGTGGGGCGCGGGCCGCGCCCAGGGCCCTGGAGCCCGTCTGGGGGGCGCGGTGGTCCCGTGAGGAAGTCCTCCGAAGATTCGGTGTCTCTTCAGGCCAGCTTGAGTTTTGGAAGGTGCGGGAGAGGGACTCGGACCCTCTTGAGGAGGACGAGGACGAGGACCCCGTGCTGGTTCGAGCTGTTATTTTGTTTTGTTTTTAGGCGTGGCTGGCACCGCCCCACGTCCTAGACTAGAATAGGATAGAGTAGGATATATTAGACTAGACTAGTCTAGTCTAGACTAGAATTGAATAGTATAGAGCAGAATAAAGTAGAATAGTAGAGGCAAGAATAGCAGAATATAATATAATATAATAGAATAGAATACAATAGAATAGAAAACAAGTGAATGGAATGGCGAAGGAGGAGGAGGAGGAGGAGGAGGAGGAGGAGGAGGAGGAGGAGGATGGGGAGTAGGGAGGGGGGGAGGAGGAGGAGGAGGAGGCGGAGGGATGTAGGAGGAGGAGGAGAGAGGAGTGGTGGTGACGAATAGGATAAGAGGAGGGAGGAGAGGAGGACGAGGAGGAGGAGGGGGGGAGGAGTTCGAGCCTGCCTGAGCAAGCTCGCCCGCGCGAAGTGGGCCGCCCCGCCCGGAGCCGTGGAGGCGACACTTTCTCCTGACGAGGCCGGCAGGCGGGACAGCCTCCGCCTCTGCTCTGCGCGTTTGTCGCCGGCAGGCGCCCGGGGAACGGCTCGCGGCCGTGGCGTCCCAGAGGCAGCGGGGCGGATGCAACGGGTCACGGAGGCGCTTCTGATGGGCTTGCTTATCCACCACAACCACCACGAGCTGGAGGGGGCGGATAGGTGGAGGAGGAGGAAGAGGAGGCGCGGGAGGGGGAGGTGGAGGAGGGGGGGGGGGTGGAGGAGGGGGGGGGAGTTGGAGGAGGAGGAGGAGGAGCATGAGGAGGAGGCTGAGGCGAGGTGGAGGAGAGGAGAGGAGCCCCTCCCCCTACTACTTGTGTGGTGGCGGGGGGAAACAGGCAGGCCACCAGAGGCAGCGGGTCAGTGGGGGCGTTTCGATGTCGTCTCTGTGCGGTCGGCGGCCTCTCTTGGGGGTCCTTCCCGGCCCTGGTGCCTGTCCCTCCTCAAAGACGGCCTATCGGGGGCGGAAAAGAAGGGGTGATTACTAGAGGAGTTGGATATCCATGACGGGGGGGGGCCATGATATTTCCCCAGATGTTTCATTACGTCCCTGGCCCCTCCGCTGGGCCGTGCACATGCCGCCGGTCATGATTTGCACCCCCCCCTCTTGGACACCCCCCTCTTGGCCGCTCCCGAGCCTTGGGACAAAGACTGGGCCCTGGCACGGGAGGCCCCAGCTGCTTCCAGGGTTCCCTGCCCCTCAGGGGCCGCCCTTTGTACGGGCGGCGGAGGCGGAAAAGGAGAGGGAGGACCCTGCAGTCGGACCGAGGTGTAAGGTCGAGGTCGGTTCCGGGAGGGTACTCTGGTGTTCTTCGTGATTGTTGGATGTTCTTGTGCATTCCGGGAAGGGCACCCTTCGATGTTCTGCTCCTTTCGGCCGACGCAGGGTCTCATGTTCTTGGGGGAAGTTTTTCTGGCCCAGGTCCGACTGCAAGGAGGGAGCGCCGCCCGACTCCTCATCCTTCTTCTCCTCATACCCCTCCTCCAGTTCCTCAGGTCCTCCTTCTCCCTTCCTCCTCCTTCTCCCTTCCTCCTCCTCTTCCTCCTCCTCCCCCTCCTCCTCCCTTACTCCTCATCCGCCTCCTCCTCCTCCTCCTCTTCCATCCCTTCTCCTTGGGTGTGAATGAACTTCTCCCTGTCGCACCCCGAGGCCAGTTTTTAGGGCGGGCCAGGCGTTTCGCCCGAGACTTCCTCACCGTTTATGATTCGGAGTTTGGAAAAGTGGCAACAGTTCAGGGCTCGTTTCGATTCCTCCGATTCGATTTGATTCGATTTCGATGGTTTCCGATTCCGATTCGATTCGACTTGAGATTCCGATTTGGGCTCCGATTTCTTAATGGAGGCCTACTAGCCTGCCGATGTCTGCCGATTCGACTTTTCCCGACTCGGCTGCCGATTTCCGCCGATCCGATTCATTCCGATCGCCGATCCGACTTATCGATTCGATTTTGTGCTCTCCTGACAGTTTCACAGATGGAGGGCGGGTGGTTTTCAAAGTCTGGCTCTCGCCTCAGCGCAGCGCGCATTCGTTTTGAACATTTGCAGGAGCTTCACGGATTGAGGGCGCTTCCTTTTCTAAAATGTGGTTCTCGCGTTAGTGCCGCCCACATTCGTTCGTAAAGTTTGGGCGAATTCCGCGGATTCCCATGATCAACGTACCAGGCACTGCATGCTGGAAGGATTCTGGATTCTGCGGGTGCAACAGTTATGTTGGTTCGCTGTGATGAAGTCCTCCAAAATTGCGTGCTGGCACGATTCCAGATCGTCAAGACGCAGCAGTTAGGTTGATCCGTGGCGTTGAAATCCCGAGAACCATATTTTGGCATGCTTCAGGGTCTTCAAGGGTGTCTGCCAACGAGGCCGTTCCATCAATGGAAATGATAGGCTGTAGGGGCCTATGAGGAGGGAGCTTGGAGGGAGGGTAAATTCCAGCATCGTTGATGACTCTTTGGTTTACACTGGTCCTCCTCCTCCTCCTCCTCCTCCTCCTCCTCCTATCCCTCCTCCTCCTCCTATCCCTCCACCTCCTCCTATCCCTCCTCCTCCTCCTATCCCTCCTCCTGCTCCTCGCCCATTACGATGCCTGTGCCGCAGCAGGGAGCTCCATTTGCGGCCCCTGCGGTTTGCACGCCGTTCCCCGCCCATCCCGGCCTGCGCCTCACGAGGATCTTGCCCCGCAGGGGATTCAGCGATCTTCTGCGCGCTTGCTCCACGGGTCCCCATCTGCCCTGCCCCCACCCCCTCCGGCTCGCCCTTGGCTCGTGAGGGGTGTCGCTCCAGCGCCGTCGCCGCCGTCGCTTCCGCGGTCGTCGTCGCCGCTCTCGCCGTCGCCGCCGTGGACGTCGCCGCCCTCGCCCTTCCCGCCGCCGCCATTCCCGCCGTCGCCACCGCCGTCGTCGGCGTCGTCGTCGTCGGCGCTCCCGCCAGCGCCGCCGACGTCGCCGCCATCGACGTCGCCACTGTCGCCGCCACTGTCGCGGTCGCCTGCGGCGGCGGCGGCAGCGTTCGACGTCGTGGGGGCGGGGCGGTGCCGAGGCCTCGGCCGGGGCCCCCCCCCCCCCCCCGAGCGGCTTGGGCGCCTCGACGAGAGGGGGGGGGGGAGGGGGGAGCGGTGTGGGAGGGGAGCGAGGCGTAGGTCGTCCTCCGTCCCTGGTCCTCCCTCCGGCCCCTTTGCTCCACGCCCACCTCCCGCCTCCCTCGCGCTCCCCTGCCTCGCCCTGCTCAGCTCGTCCCTCCCTGGGGGGGGAGGCAGGTGGTGGGAGGTAGGAGGTAGGAGGTAGGAGGTAGGAGGAGGAGGAGGAGGAGGAGGAGGAGGAGGAGGAGGAGGAGGAGGGGGAGGAGAAGCAGGAGCAGGGGTACGATGCTGCAGTCCGCCTCTTACGGGGTGTGTTTCCATGCGGCATAGCCCATGCGCTTACATCCCTTCGGAATTCGGCGCCTCCGGGGGCCGCTGCATGCTGTAACAACAACGAACTGCAAGCGCCCTGCTGTGCAGCGCCGCTTGCCTCGTAGGAAAACGATTCCTTGTATACACTGCGCGGCAGTTGCAGAAACAATCGCGCCTCAATATTAATGTCTTGCTTTGCGCGGGGTTTCTCTTCCATATTGCTTTCACGCGCTGCTCCTGGCCATCCTGTTTTGCTGGCTCCTCCTATCCGACCCTTCTTCTCGTAGTCCTCCTCACTGATCCGTATCCCCTCTTGCCCTTATCACTCTCCTCTCGTCCCTTTTCCCTCCTCGTGTGCGTCCTCCCGTCCCCCCCCTCCCCGCTCCTCATCCCTCCGCTGTGTTACGGTCAGCGTTCTCCTCCTCGCGCCGCGTCTCCGAGGCGGGACCTTGACCCATGCCCACCGCGTGGGAAGCCAGACCTCCTCTCGACCTCGGGCGGCGGTGGAGGTGGATGTACAGTCAACGCGCCTAGTAAGGACGCGCGCCTTCATCTAGGGTACCCTTGTGTCCTTGCCTCCGAAGCCCGTCCTTGCCATTATCACTGGTCGCCCGCCGCCCTAAAAACCCAACTTCGACCTCCAAGGGTCTTGCGTCCTTACCACGCGTCCTTAATATACGTTTTGACTGTATCTGGGCCCCAGGCGGCCCAGATGTCCCTGTCCACCGGCCCGCCCAGATCCCCTTGCGTTGTGCAACATCGGGGCGGCATGTTTTTCGTATTTTTCGGCATCTGGGGGCCCTTACCGGGCCCCTGGGCCGTCAAAACACGGCTCGGGCATCGTATCTCTCCTCGCGCCTCTTCTCCCTCTTCCCGCCTCCTCCCCATCCCCAGACACCGCGGACTGGGTGCATCTTGCGAGGAGCGAGGCCACCATTGCATGATATCGTGCCCCGTTCGCTGCCCGTGCGAGGGGCCGTCGGCGCGGATCTTCTCAGATTCATTTCGATCTCAGAGGGCGGACCGTCAGTACTTGTCGCGTGGCCGTCTCTGGACCAGCGTGGGCTGGATCGACAAAGGCCGCCATCGAGTAACAAACATGTTCGCCAGCGCTAACCTCAAGTCGGGCACGTCCCTCTACAGGAGGAAATTCCAAAAATAGTTAAAAAATAGTACGGGGACTATTTTTAAGTATTTTGTTTGACCATTTGGGAGTATCTTTCTACTATTTTTAATTTGTTGTCCAAAATCCCCCTGTAGGGGGACAGGTCCGACCTAACGCTAACCTTGAACATTTAAGTTGTTGTACTGTGGGTGTGTACTCTGGATCACTCAACAATCGCCCCCTCCTTAGAGTGCCCGGGGCCCGGGGGGATTGGCCGCGGCGCGTCCGCGGGGTTGCCAGGGGGGTCTGGGGTTCGATCCCTTCCCCGCTGGGGCGCGACGGTGGTGCCGGGGGGGTTGGCCGCGCCACGTTTTCACGTTTGTCACCTCCAGGTTGATTGATCAGAATGAGGGGGCCGAACGGTTATTCATTGTCCTTGGGTGCGCGGCTAAAGTGGTAATCCGTGGTGAGGATTACGCGTGTTGCATTGTTGTTGTTGTTGTTGGTGCTGCTGTTGTTGTTGATGTTGCTGTTGCTGTTACTGTTGCTGTTGCTGTTGCTGTTGCTGTTGCTGTTGTTGTTGTTGTTGTTGTTGTTGTCGTCGTCGTCGTTGTTGTTGTTGTTGTTGTTGTTGTTGTTGTTGTTGTTGTTGTTGAACATTATTACTTCTAAAGAATAATTATTGTTTGGACCCCTGGTGCATGCCCCCCCCGCCGCGCCTAGGCCGCAGCCACATTTTCATCATTTTCGTGAGGAAGTCTCAGGCAAAACGGGGGAGTCCGGATCCGGTTGTTTTGTTCCCCCCCGCTTTCCCTTGCAAAAAACAATATAAAATGACATTTCTTGTTCTAACATAAAATGACATTTCTTGTTCTAACATAATCTAAATAAACCAAACTTCAAGAATCCCTTGCAAAAAATAAGTAAAAGTCACATTGCGCGCGCCAGAACGGAATCCCCCCCCTTCCAAAACCTTAGCGTTCGTAG